TGTGCCGAAGCTGGCGTCGCTGTAGCACACAGGTCCAGCGGTTGGTCCTTGCGCGTGCCGCTGCGTCGCTTGAAGAGGAGGCCCGTGCTCGCTCGTCGCCTTCAGGTACCGCACGACGTGCTTGGCTGCCTGCCAGTGGACCGTCGTGTAACGGTCCATGTAACGGCAGAGCAGCCCGCACGCGAAGCTGACGTCTGGTCTCGTGCGGTTGGCCAGGTACAGGAGCGAGCCGACGAGGTTGCGGAAAGGCAAGCGTCGGTCGGGCTGCTCGCTGGTGCTGGAGGCGTCGATGCCAACACGCATGGGCGTGGACACGCTGGCTGCCGCTGCCAGGTTGTAGTCGTTGATGATGTCGTTGATGGCCTGTGTCTGCGCAATGTGCAACACCCCGTCAGCTGGTGACGTCAGGTGAAGGCCCAGGTACCAGGTGAGCGGGCCCAGGTCCTCTGCCTCGAAGCTCTCCTTGATCTGCTGCTTGCAGGCATGGATGTGGCGGCCGCTGCTGCCGCTGATGATGAGGTCGTCGACGTACGTGATGATCCATGTGCGCTGTCCGTCGTCGTGGAGCTTGGTGAAGAGGCAAGCGTCGACATTGCTTTGCGCCCATCCGTTGGTCTTGAGGAAGGTGTGCAGCTTCTTGGCCCATGCACGGCCAGCTTGCTTGAGGCCGTAGAGCGGCTTGAGCAGCCGGCACACCTTGCCCGCGTAGCGTTGAGCGCCGTCGCCGATGTCGGTGAAGTGCGGCGGCAGCTCCATGTACAGCTCCTCCTTGAGATCAGCCTGCAGGTAAGCCGACTTGAAGTCGAGCTGGTGCAGCTGGTGCTGTCGTTGCAGGGAGACGGCGAGTACAGTGAGGATGGTCTTGGCTGCTGGTGTTGGAGCGTAGGTCTGGTCGAAGTCGATGCCCGGTCGCTGGCTGAAGCCCTTGGCGACCCAGCGTGCCTTGAAGCGCGTCGGCGTGCCTTCCGCATCACGCTTTACCTTGAAGACGAAGCGCGACTTGAGCAGCGTGTGCTGCCGTGGCACGGCGCTGCGTGGGATGAGCTTGATGACGCCGTTGCGCTCCATCGCCCCGATCTCCTCCAAGCACGCCTGAGTCCACTGCTTGCGTTGCTGGCTCTTGAGTGCCTGCTTGATGCTTGCAGGCTCCGTGAGGCTGGTGTCGCCACTGCTGCTTGCTGTGAACGCGCCTGCCTCGGTGTCGCTTGCATCTGTTGTGTCTGGATCGTAGTTGGCGTCGTTGGTGTCGCTGCTGCTGTCGGCGTCAAAGTCCGTGAGCAGGAAGTCTGTCTCGACATCCTCGTCCTGCTCCTCGTCGATGTGAACCGTTGGTGGCTCACCGTCAGTGGTGCTGTTGCTGCTGTCACGTGCACTGGGAAGCTGGAGCATGGACGATGTCGTGGATGTCTGCACTTGCTCCTCCCCCTCATCCACGACATCATCGGCCTTGGAGAAGGGAAGGAAGCGGACGTGGATGGAGGACACAACGGTGTTTGTGTCTGCGAAGTAGACGAGGTGGCTGTTGCTGCTGCTGTTGTAGCCGACGTAGATGCCTCGACGACCCTTGGGCTGCAGGCGTCCGCGCTGTGTGCTGATGTGGACGACGGCCGGCTGCCCGAAGACGCGCAGCTGCGGCACGTGCTTGGGCAGCGAGCCCGTGACAATCTGCAGCGGTGTCTTGCCGTGGAGGGAAGGGCGAGGCATGTTGTTGAGGATGTGCAGGGCGTGGTTGCAGGCGAGGCTCCAGCACGATGCGTCAAGGCCTGCACCCGTGATCATGGCTCGCACCATGTCGGAGAGGGTGCGCACCTGTCGCTCGACGATGCCGTTCTGCGCCTGGGTGTACGGCGGGGCTGCTGGTGCTGCTTCAGGTGCTTCTTGACGATGGC